AAACCTCTCCAAAAAAAAAAAAAAAAAGAAATATTTTGTGAAGGATAATGTTCTGAAATACAACAAATGTCATTTTTTCAAATGTATAAAAGTACTCTTAGATACAATATCTAAATGGATTCCTGAGAAGTAGATTCTTAAGAGCCCACTTTGTTTAGCTGTATAGCTATAGTTTTCCCACTTCTCAAAAGTAAGACTAATGAAGCGTTCACCTGAAAACCAGTGTGAGGGGCCAGCAGGTGGTGTGGTGGTTAAGGGCGCTGGACTCCCACATGGCTGACTGCGGTGTGAGTCCCACCCCTGGCAGCTTATTTTCTCACTTTCTCTCTCTCTCTTTCTCTCTCTCTCTCTCTGTCCCTCACTGGTCAAGTTAAAATAAAATAAATATTAATAAATAAATAAAGTTAAATTTAAAAAATGTCTTTAAAAAAACCAGTGTGATACAAACATTTCATAAAATGACATTCATGAATTTAGAAAAAAAAAATCTTAAAAATCACGGCACTGAAAGAAAACTACATATTTCTTATACAACAATAATCTGATATTTTAGTTGCTAAATGTTGAATTTGGAAATAATTAAACATATTTCTATTATGTGCTAAGTATAGTAAGGATAATAATAATCTGAAATGCATACTTAAAAGTACAAAAGGGGTAAGTACAAACAAGAAAACCAAAGAATAGAAAGGTAAGTAAATTGGTCAAGGATATACACTAAAACCAGGGAAGAATCTGGGGCCAGCAGGTGGTGTGATGGTTAAGGCACTGGATTCCCACATGACTGACCTCGGTTCGAGTCTCAGACTTGGCAGCTTGCTTTCTCACCTTCTCTTTCTCTCAGCCTCTCTCTGGTCAAATTAAAAACTAATAATAATAACAAATAGAATTAAATAGATAGATAATTTTTTAAAAGGTGTGTGTGGGGTTAAGAATCACATATCTACCCCAAAACCATCTGAAACCAAGCCCAGCTCCTAAGCATTACACTGAATTGCCTATGAAGTGACCAGAAACAGTGGTACTTGATTGACAAAAAAGAATGGCATTTAGGGATGGCTCCATGGCCCAGTGATTAAGGTAGTCAGATCCCACATGGCTGCCTGTATAGTTCAAATCCCAGACCCAGTGGCTTGAGAAACACACTGGCATGTAGCCATGTGTGCCCAAGATCCCCACAAAGGAGGGAGAAATGGAGAGAAAGAAGGGATTTTGATGTGACCATTCCCCCTGGGGGCAGGTGTTTTCTCCCTCTGTCTGTCTGCCCCTGGCAAGCACGTATGCCCTCTAGCGCACACATGCACACATACTCACAAACGCCATTTATTTGAAGAGAAAAAGTGCATTTGACTTCTCAGATATCTGAAACCTAAATAAATGCTTTACTGGACTTTTTTTTTTTAATTTGCTATAGGGCATATATACACTTGCCAGAGAACCACAGTGAGACGGGGAAAGTGAGAAAGCACCCACTGCCCCATGGAAATGGCTACACTGTAATCTTTTCTCTTCCATTTCTCCTCCTGGGATTTTGGGCATGCATGCAGATGTGCCCTGCGTGTCTTTCGAGACCCTAGGTCTGAGACTCGAACCATGCAATTGGCCATGTGGGATCCAGCCCCCTTAACCACTAGACTGTTGTCAAATGTCAAAAATAATTACTTTACAAGGAATATCAAATACCATTATTGTATTTCAGTTGACAAAATTTCTCATTCATAAGTGCAACATGCATATTGTTTTAATTTTACCTACACAGCTAGTTGAGCATTTCTTTCTTCTCTCTTCTTTTCCCATACAATATTATCTATCATATCTATCAGGTTTCTTGACCACCTCTCAGAGGTTTTTCTCCCTATTATGTGTTAGTTTTGTTTTAGAAATCAACTATGAACATGCAGTCTTCAAAGACTTTTTAAATTTGTGCAACACCAATGAAAAACAGAAATAAATCTGTATATGTTCTCCAAAGTAAAAGTTGCCTTTGACACATAAAACTCATTAAAAAATACAATTAAAGATACTTTAGACACCCTCCTCTAACCTGTGTTGCAGAGACCATTCACAGAGTAGGCACCCAGAACTTACTGATTTGTCCCGTTGATGTTCTAGGACAATTGCAATTGCTTTATTTACATTTTACCAGAAAGTATTTATTTACAACCATGTTGTTTTTAGTTGTAATGTTATTCTGTTAGGAATGCTACCATTAAAAAAATATTATCATAACATAATCAAATACTTATAGGAAACATGTGATCCCTGAAGTTTGTCTTCTCTATCTTAAAAAAAAAAAAAAAAAAGTTAAGGTCCTCATACTTCTATGGGTAATTTTCAAGAAGTCTAGACAAATTCATAGAAGCAGAGATTAGATCAGTGGTTTCCCAAAGCTAGGAGGAAGAGGAAACAAAGGAGTCGCTTTCAGTGAGTACAAAGTTTCAATTATCCAGATGAATAGGCTCTAGAATCTGTGCCCAACCTAGTGCCTATAGTTAACAATAGCACATTGTACACTTAAGAGTGTATGAGGGTAGATCTCATACTAAATATTCCTACTAAATAAAAATAAAACAAGTGCAAATTCCACATCCTTGTTTTTATTTACATTTACAGAAAAAAACCCGAAAAGCTCTGCGAATGGGCACTGTAAAGAGATTGAGGGGAGGAAGCCCACAAAAATTTTGACTTAGAGGTTTGAAAAATTGTTCTGGCAAATGTAGCTTTTAACTTGCACAATAAGTGTCGGGACCAGCAGTTAGCGTAACGGCTATGTCGCTGGACTCCCACGTAGTCGACTGCGGTTCGCGTCCCGGACCCGGTGGCTTAAAACTCACACCGGGCATGTGTGCGTGCGTGCCCAAGATCCCGAGAGGAGAATGGAGGAGAAGGGATTGCGGCATGACCATCCCCACTGGGGGGTGATTTCTCGCTTTCTGTCTCTCTGTCTTCCTCTGTCTGTCTGGCGAGCACACGCGCCCTATAGTGAAAACCTCTCAAAAAAAACCAAAAAACAAAAAACAATAAGTGTCTTTCTCTGTGTGGTGGGTGCTTTGTACTTAAGATGGAATTCTGATGCCTGGGCTAAGATAGCAGATGAGTCCATGGTCACCACTCCCCTTTCTTTTCCAAAATATTCAAATTTGGTCATTCCCACAGATAAAGCCCTGATCAGAACTCACCACCACACCCAGGCTATAACTGGATTTATTTTTAGAGGTTTTTGCCTTAAGGCACATACGCTTGCTGGAGAGACAGAGACCGTAAGAGGGAAAATGAGAAATCACCCCTTGGGGGGATGACCACACAGCCATCTCTTTTCTCCCCTTCTCCTACTGGGATGTTGGGCACGCAAGCATACATGCTCGGTATGAATTTCAAGTCACCAGGTCTGGGACTTGAACTGGGACTGGCATGTGGGAGTCCGGCAATGTTACCGTTACACCATCTGCTGGCCCTTATCATTGGATTTTTCAGTGTTTACATAAACTTAATGTGGCTCTGGCAAGAGAGAAGTTTTAAAAATCAAAATCAATACTTGAAAAGTTTTATTAAAATCTGTTCAAATAATGTGACCTTTAAGGAAAAATATTCACAGATTTCCAGATAGGGAAAAAAAATGTCAGCTAAAAGAAATTGACATATTTTATAACCTAGAGACAATACTGATTAATTCAATATCTATTCTGTAATAATCAACCTTAATTATAACAGATAGCTCGATGAGAAAGAATTGGATAGTTAAAAACGAAACAATAAAGACTCAATAACAAAGAGTCTGAAAGTTAAAAAAACTCATTCTGGGGAACCAGCAGTTAGCGTAATGGCTATGTCGCTGGACTCCCACGTAGTCGACCGCGGTTCGTGTCCCGGACCCAGTGGCTTAAAACTCACGCCGGGCGCGTGTGCGTGTGTGCCCAAGATCCCGAGAGGAGAATGGAGGAGAAGGGATTGCGGCGTGACCATCCCCCCTGGGGGGTGATTTCTCGCTTTCTGTCTCTATGTCTCTCTCTGTCTGTCTGGCGAGCGCACGCATCCTACAGTGAAAATCTCTCCAAAAAAACAAAAAAACAAAAAACTCATTCTGATCCTGCCTTAACTATGTATGAAATAGCCATGAAGAGCGCTAAGATAGGAAAGTTAACCTTCTTGGGGCCAGCAGGTGGCATGTAGGTCAAGGTGGCTGGATCCCATAGGGCCATCGGTACAGTTCAAGTCCCAGCCCAGGTAGCTTAGAAATCACGCTGAGCAATGGGCATGGGTGCCCAATCCTGAGAGCAGAGTGGAGAAGGAGTTGTGGCATGGTTATCCTCCCTGGGAAGATACTTTCTCACTTTCTCTTTCTCTCTCTCTCTTTCTGTCCCTTTCCAGCAAGCATGTGTGCCCTGAAGCAAACTACCAAAATAAATAAATAAAAAAGGAAGACATTAACTTTCTCAATACCACAGCAGCTTGGAAATGACCTATTGCCTGCAAAAATAAAAGCTTTTCAGTTTGTTCCCCTACCAAAATGAAACCAGAGCTGTTCTGTGAAGGCCATAACAATTAAAATTACATCATCATCATCATCAATATCATCAATTTATTGAGCTCTAACTATGTACCAGGTACTGTTCTACCTTTTTTTTTTTTTTAACATAGTGGGGACTACTATTATGCTAACCCCACTTTACAGATAGTGGAAGCCAAGATACAAAGAAGTTAAGTGATTTAATTAAGAGGCACAATCAGGACTTGAAGCCACACAGTCTATTGCAGAGCCCACAGGCATCATATCTACATTCTACTCACTGTCTCTCTGGCTTTGAGAGATGGACCCCCAATGAGAAATTAAGACTGTAGGTTAATTAAATGATTACAATTCATAATTGAAAGCTGTGACAAGTCACTGAACAATGAACAACATCCTTACAGCATATGACAGCTTCCCAAGGTTCATTCTTATAATATCCCCTCTGATAGCAGCTGACAAAAGTGAATGTATGGTTCTGTTTCTGGGGACCTTTATGAATGTAAGATAAACTGATTAGAAAACCCTCATAGTAAAAAAAAAGGACCAGCAGTTAGCGTAATGGCTATGTCGCTGGACTCCCACCTAGTCGACCGCGGTTCAAGTCCCGGACCTGGTGGCTTAAACTCACGCCGGGCGCATGTGCATGTGTGCCCAAGATCCCGAGAGGAGAATGGAAGAGAAGGGATTGCGGCATGGCCATCCCCTCTGGGGGGTGATTTCTCGCTTTCTATCTCTCTGTCTCTGTCTGTCTGGAGAGTGCACACGCCCTATAGCAGAAACCTCTCCAAAAAAAAAAAAAAAACCCTCATTGTAGCTGACCAGTTGTATATGGCTGATAGCCATAAGTCAATGTTAGGGAAACATCTACCCCAGAGGATGACTTGGTTTTGAATAGTTGATCTGGAGTCCTCTGTTTTGAAGGTAATTAGATAGTGGGCCAGATGTGAAGTCCACATCTAGTTTGTCTCAATGAAATCATATCAGGATGCTTAATCAGGATGTTTATCTCTTTATTCTCTATAGCTAGGTAAGGAGAAAAGACAGATCAACTGTATCCAAAAGTAGTATCAGTTATTTAGGTAAAGGTGACAAGAAGATGGGGCGAGCATACATTCTATTCTATGCCTCAAGAAACTGATAATCACTCATACGAAAGACAGTTCCACTGGCCCTGTGTTTTATGGTTACTGGAAAGTAGGGCTGTATAAAAGTAAATTCTGACTAGTGAGAATACTATTTGTTGTCACGCAGTTAACAAACTGTCCTCCATGGAACTCTAAGGTAGCACGGGGATATCCCTTAGTAAAAGGGTCCTCTAATCCCCTTACCTAAATATATGTTTATATATTTTTTTTTGGGGGGGGAGGTTTTCGCTATAGGGCATGTGCGCTCACCAGACAGACAGAGACATAGAGACAGAAAGCGAGAAATCACCCCCCAGAGGGGATGGTCACGCTGCAATCCCTTCTCCTCCATTCTCCTCTCGGGATCTTGGGCACGCATGCACACACGCCCGGCATGAGTTTTAAGCCACCGGGTCCGGGACGCGAACCACGGTCAACTACGTGGGAGTCTGGCGACATAGCCATTATGCTAACTGCTGGTTCCCTGTTTTATATTTTTGAGATTCTGAATAAACTTTATCTGGAAGAAAGATCCATAATTGCCTTAAAGGAAAAATTCATAATAGCCCAGCCACAGTAGTGCAGCAGTAATTCAAATGCCTATAAGGCTGGAAGCCACATGGCTGATGGTGAGGTCAGAGCCCTGGGTCAGCTTAACACATGCCTGACACAAGTGTGGGTGCCTAGGAGCCTGAGGAGCTGAAGGGCTGGAGAAAGAATAACGGTGTGACGAGATCCTGTTGTGATGTCTCTCTCGCTTGCTCTCGTGTGTATGTACTACCATTTAAAAAAAGAAGAAAGAAAGAAAGAAAGAAAGCTTTTAACTACCACTTTCCATACCTTCCAACTCTTTGGGGATATTTTTCAGCTTGCTCACTAGATCTAAAAACATTAGATATTGGGACCAGCAGATGACACAGCAGTTACATTGTTGAACTCCCACATGGCTGACTGTAGTTTCAGTACCGAAGCTGGTGGCTTGAAAATCATGCCATGTGTGTGTGTATGTGTGTGTATGTGTGTGTGTGTGTGTGTGTGTGTGTGTGTATATGTGTGCCCAAGATCTCATCCCAGGAGAATAAAGGAGAAGGGACTGTGGCTTGGACATACTCCCTGGTGGGTGATTTCTCACTTTCCTTTTCACTGTCTCTGCCTCCCTCTCTCTCTCTCCAGTGAGTGCATGCACCCTAAGGCAAAAAAACTTTCAAAAAAAGAAAAATCAGATACAAACATCTCTTCTACAGTTTTTACAATAAAAAAAATATAAACTTTTTGAGTATCAACCACCTGCTAAACAATGTGTCAGACACTTGTTTCTAGTTAAAACAAACAATACTGTACAAATATATGTGGACACGTGCATGCCATTGCTTAACTGTATGCGTTAACATAACAGTCTTACTATGAATATCAATGAGAATACACACTATAAATCAATTTCTACTAATATATTTTCGTCAATATAAAAATTCAACTCTCCCATTTCTGTTTTAATTCCTGGTCTTACTGATGCAATACAAACTGAGCACTTCGTGAAGTTGCCTCCTTAATATAACCCAGATCTACCTGGTTTATCCCTTAATACATAAAAGAAATTACTTTATATGGAAAAGGCCCAAACCTGGGAAATTAACTCACCAAAATGATCTGAAGGAAGATCTCATATTGTCGCACATTATACAGCGCTTCTTTCAACATATATGGCTGAAGTTCCATACTAATGAGTGGGTTCTTTGTCACTTTCTCCAAGATGGCCGTGTAGCGGTATATCTGCTCCTGGGCAGTCTCAAGCTGCGAATCAATGTGCTGAGTGGTGGCTGGGATGGCTTCATGTAGAATAGCTGGCACTGTTTTTAAGGGTATAAAAAGACAGTAATGAAGAAGTCTAAAAAGAATAGAGGAAAAAGCCTAGAAAGTAGTAATATTTTAGACATTAAGTTTTTCCCCATCAAATGAATAATGATGTATGTTTCACGGGTTCCATATCATGAGGAAAAGCATCCCCCCATAAAAAACCCTGTTCAAACAAGATTGTCAGAATGACAATAAAAAATTAGAGATTGGCTTTTGCCCTTAAAATATGAAAGTTTAAATAATGGGCACAATTTGTCATTATGTGTTATTGACCGTGTGCCTCTAGAACAGCCACGGATCCTGCCTTATCTTCTATTTGTGAAAACAAGGTGGGGAAAGCATGTTTCTTAACTGGCTGCTGAAAAATCGGGTGTAGTTAATGAAATGAAAAGATCCAAGAGGATATATTTGCAAATCAATTCAGGATCATCTGTTAGGCTGTTAAATAATTATTCCATTATGTATCTAAAAAGTTTGAAAGTACTAATGAACTATTTAATTAAGGACGTATCAGTAGAAGTAACTTCCTTGTGGATTTGGTATATCCTCTTGGATCTTTTCATTTCATTAACTACACCCGATTTTTCCTTCCAGGGTGATTTTTATCTTTCATATCACAGAGTTCTACTCTCTTTTGGTGATCTGGACACAAACTCCCACTGAACTGGGCAGGGCAAGTCTCTGGACAGCTTTCTCTGATTCATTTTCCCATACTAGCTTAATAGTACATAAAATGTAAAGTCTATCTCCAGCAAAAGCAAATTAATACACGTTATAAACATGCTCATTCTAAGAAACAGTCAAAACCACCAATCTCAAATCTCAGAATGTCAGTGGTGTGTTGTGTGTTATTCTCCCCATTGTGCAAAGAATATTTGAAACATACATAACTTTTAGAATTAACCTAATGATATACCCACAGTCATCAATGCCTTCTCCTCCTTTTCCACAGTCTCTGTTAAATAAACGTATGCCAGTAACAATCATGGTGAGTTCTTTCAGCTGGCGCTCTTTGTCCTTCTTAGAAAGAGTTAGAAATGTTCCAAGCTCAGCCTGAGGGAAAACACTCTGTAGGGCAGCTAAAATAGACCATAAAAAGAGGGAAACAAAAGGATAAAGTGATCCAAATTTAAGTTACAAGTTTCTTTTAGCAGAAAGTTCAGAGGATGGTCTTTGTTTTATTTTTAAAAGTTATTTATTTAATTTTACTTATTATTATTATTTTAAAATTTGCTATAGGGAACACATGCCCACCAGAGAGGGAGACAGAGAGAGAAAGGAAAAGTGAGAAAGTAAGTCATCAGGTCCGTAACTCAAACCATGATTGGCCTTGTGGGAATCTAGCACCCTAACTACCGTGCCACCTGCTTGCCCCACGACTTGTCTTTCTAAAGTTACTTATTAGAATACCTAGTTATGGAATACATAGCAAAATGTATCATATCAAAGCTGAGCTATTGAAAACAATGTCACCATCCCATGTCCATTTATAATAATCAAGCATCTATGATATTTTGACAATAGGCATGAAAATAAACTTTGTAATTAACAGTCTGAATAGAAAAATTAATGCTTTAAAATAATTATGTGTGAAAGTCACAGGCAAGCTAGACATCTTTCCTCTTTCTCATCTCATAGTGTATGGGGCTAGCAGGTGACTTGGTGGTTAAGATGGTTAACGGCCAGCCACAGTTTGAGTCCTGGACTCGGCCACTTGAAAAACCATGCCAGACATGTGTGTGTGCATGCCCAAAATCCTGGGAGAAGAATGGAGGAGAAGGGACTGCAGTGTGGCTATCCCCACTGAGGATTTCTCACTTTCCCTCTCTCTCCAGTGAGTACATGCTCCCAATAGAAAAAAGAAAACATAAATAAAAGTGTGCTAGTATTTCCTGAGGACAAAACAGCGCTCTTTTCTATTATCCATTTTAGGTGTCAACTTCTTTCATCAATATGAAATTTCCTTTTCCATCAGTCCCAGCTTCCCAAGCTTGGTAACCTTAATCATGCTACCAATGTTTCTCTAATGAAGTGTCTCCAGATATACACAGCTTTAAGAAGTTAACCGTACTTCACTTTCTAGAACTGGCACTTGAGTTTTAGAATTGATAACAAGTGTGAAAGGAATATAGGTAAGATTCCACTTCTTATTTATGCTGTTTTTCTTTTATTCAGATAAAACAAGGAACTCCAATCTTTAACATTTCTAATTTAATATATTTTAGAAAATAGAATGATTATCTATTTTTCTTATGAAATAATGAAAATTATTTCTACTTCTTTACCTGTTGCTTCTCTGACAATTTTGATGTCTGTAGGGGCCCCGAGCCCAGAGCGTAGTAACACATAGCTGACAATCTTTCGGTAGAGACTTTCCAATTCTTCTCTACTACACGCTCTGTTGTCTGTAATTTCTCTGCTAATAGAGCCCAATCTGGACTCTAGGACACGGTGATGTTCTTCAAGAAATTCCCCTAAAATTGGCAGATGACAATGTTCCATTCATTTAGTACTACAAATTGTTCTCATATACGGGCCAGAGTAAAATTGGCTTGAATATAGCAATTCTACTACATAAGCACAAGTACATTTTTAAAAAATTATTTATTTAATTTTATTAATTATTGTTATTATTTAATTTGATTTGAGAAAGAGAGAGAGAGGGAAAGTGAGAAAGCAAGCCACCAGGTCTGGGACTCGAACTGTGGTAAGCCACATGGAAGTCCAATGCCTTAGTCACCATGCCACCTGTTGGACCTTGTACCTTCTTTTTTATTTGGAGAGGTTTTTGCTATAGGATGTGTGTGCTTGCCAGAAAGACAGAGAGAGACTGAGAGATAGAAAGCGAGAAATCACCCCCCAGGAGTGATGGCCACGCTGCAATCCCTTCTCCTCCATTATCCTCTCAGGATCTTGGGCAATCGTTTCTCAGCCTTTTGGCTAAGATCAAGTGTAGGATCTTGGGCACGCATGGATGCACATGTACCTGGCGTGAGTTTAAGCCATCAGGTCCGGGACTCGAACTGCGGTCGACTACCTGGGAGTTCAGCGACATAGCCATTACACTAACCGCTGGTCCCAAGACCCTGTACCTTCTTAAGATGTAAAATGAAAATTTTTAAAAGCGACCAGCAAATAACCTCCAAAAGAAAACCCAATGGAAAAGGCTTAACATAATGACTTACATGGAATATTTTTATCAAGACACATGAGACTTTAAACAGTCAAGCCAAGCAATGAATAACCAAAGAGCTAAAATCTCTCAATTAAACAGAAAGTAAAGAAAACTATTTCTAAAACACATTTATATTTCATACCACATGTGAACACATCATTCTATATGTACTGTATATTTATACTCTATGTAAGTACATGCAATATAAAAATGCATGTAGTCGGACCAGGAGACGGTGTAATGGTAACATCACTGGTTATATCCCCCATGGCCAAACATAGTTTGAGTCCCCGACACAGTGGCTTGAAACTCATGCTGGGCACAAGTGTTTGCATGCCCAAAATCTCAGGAGGATAATGGAGTTTGCAGTGTGGCCATCCCCCACGCAGGGTAACATCTTGTTTTCTGTCTCTCTGGCGAGTGCACATACACTACAGAAAAAAAAAAAATCTCCAAGAAAAAGCGTATAATATATATCCCCTTAATTATGTGTATTTCTATTTCAGTTCTAAACAAATTACCTCTAAATACCATTACTGATAATGTGATGCCGCATTAAGAACTGTACCCTGGGACCAGCCTGTGGTGTGGTAGTTAGGCAGCTGCTAGATCTCACATGGCCGACTGCACATTTTGAGTCCTGGACACAGTGGTTTGAAAAATATGCAGGGTGTATGTCCATGTATGCCCAAAATCCTGAGAGAAAAATGGAGGAGAAGGGATTGTGACATGACCATCCCCGTAGGGATGCTTTCTCCCTCTCCTCTTTTTCTGTTTCTCTCTGGTGAGTGCACATATCCTCTAGGTCAAATTAAAAACAAAACAAAAGAAAAGAAATTAAACAAATTTATCCCTCCTGCCTCCTGTGATATGCTGAGGTATAGGTTTTTGTAGCAAGAGATCAAATTTACCAGCAGTACTATTCTGGAAATGATACAACCCACATTAGTTTTGTAAGGGTGATAATTAGCATACTAATGACATTCAGTTCTTATCTATAATCTTACCACAAAAGTAACTGAGGACTTTTTGCAAATTAAAAATATATAAATTGTCATCAAAAACAAAAGTTAGGTGATCTCCCTTGCTGCTAACTGTCCAGTATGACCATAAGCCATGGTGATATTAGTAGTACCAGTGACTGCTCACATTAAAATGATAGACATGGGGAACTGAAGATTTTCTGCCCAGACTTCATCCTCCTGAACCCAGAGACCTATGTCAGAGTAATCCTCAGTTTCCTCAGAACCTGCTGCACAAAGGGAGAAAAACGGAACTGCAGAGATTGCAAATCACTTCCTGCATGTCTCTGAATGTGCAGATTTAACTCCAACAATTAGGAAATAACGTATAATCTATCAGAAGACCAGAAACCATCGCAGAGGCACAAGAAATATGAGAAGACAAGAAAATGTCTCTCCCTCAAGGGAAAAGAATAACTCATCTTCCACAGACAATACAATGGAACTCATGGAAATATCAGAAAAACGAATGTAGAATATTCATAATGACAAAGCTAACAGAGATCCAAGAGAAGAGAGACAATGAACTCCAGAATATGCAGGAGAAAAGAGACAATGAGTTCCAGGAGGTGAGGAAATTCTTGCACAATTTGAAAGAGGAAATACAAAGCATAAAAAAGAATCAAATGGAATTGTTAGAAATGAATGCTGTAGCACAGGAAATCAAAACCTCCCTCGAAAATATTAAAAGCAGATTAGATCATGCAGAAAATTAAATTTCAGATGTAGGAGACAGAACCTCTAACCTAGGAAAATTCACCAAAAAGACTGAGAACATTACCCCCAAAAGTGAGAATAATATACAAGAAATACTGGATACCATTAAATGCCCAAACGTTCGGCTAATCGGAGTCCTAGAAAGTGAAGAAAGTAATAAGGGCATTGATAATCTATAACATGAAATCCTGGGAGAAAACCTTCCAAATCTAGAGAAGCATTCAAATATCCAGACCCAAGAAATACAAAGGACCCTGTATAGAATCAACCCAAGAAGATCTCCAAGGCACATCGTAGCCAGATTGGCCAAAACCAAAGACAGAGACAAGATACTAAAATTGGCCAGAAAGAAACATCAAGTTACTTTCAAAGGATATCCCATCAGGCTAACGTCAGACCTCTCATCAGATGCAAAGAAAGCAAGGAAAGATTGAGAAAATACATTCAGTGTTAAGTGGAAAACGATTTCAACCAAGAATACTATACCTGGCAAGATTATCCTTCATATGGGAAGAAAAGACAAGAACATTCTCAGATCAACAAAACCTGAAAGAATTTACCAACAACAGACCAGCTGTCCAAGAAATGCTGAAGGAAGTGCTATACCAGGAAAACTAGAGTCAGAAAGACAGGAATAAGAGTACAAAAAACAACCAAGGGAATGACCAACTTAATGGCAGGAACAAATCTGGAAAGATCCCTAACAACATTGAATGTTAACTTCCAGAATTTAAACAGAAAGATCAGACCACAGTAACATTGCAAATTCAACAGAAGAGAGATTCATTACATGAGACTGAACTGATGAAATAGAATTTTAAGACTTTTAACTAAAACATCAGATTTTCTTCAATGCTTTGTTTTCCAGATTTAAGGATTTTTGTCTTCTCCTGAACTGTTGATAGGTTTATCTACCTATTGTCTGAACTGAATCCTAATTGTTTTCCTGGCTTTAAGCCTTATGCACACTTCTCTTAACATTTTTTTATTTTGATCTCTTAAAACTAAAACTGTTTTTCTTGAAATTAAAAATACATTAAAGAAATATCTATTTAATGACTACAGTAAGCTATATAGTCCCAGCTATGTGCTACTTTATAGTATACTTATTCTACTCACTGAGGTTTACGCCTAAAGTCAAACTTGTATTCACAGATATGCATATATCAGCTGCACTTGCTATTGAAACTATTTAGATAATTAAGATCTTTTGTGAATCAATCAAATGTGAAAAAAAAAAAAGGCATAGAACAAAACCATAGATACCAGAGGCAGTGTGGGAGGAGGGTGGGAAGTGGCAGAGGGGGAGAGGTAGGGAATCAAGGGAGGAAAAAAAAGCAAGACATGTAAGAAACAAGAAATGAAAAATTATTCACTGATGATAACACATGGTAATATCCTTGATTGAGCCAATATGCAGTGCATTCTGTATGAAAAAAAATCTCAATTTCTATACTGTAATGATGTACAGTGAATGAATGTAAATAATTTTTTTGGAGAGGTTTTTGCTATAGGGCCTGTGCACTCGCCAGACAGAGAGAGACAGAGAGACACAAAGCAAGAAATCCCCCCCCAGGGGCTGGCCGCGCCACAACCCCCTCTCCTCCATTCTCCTCTTGGGATCTTGGGAACGCATGCACATGCACCCTGTGTGAGTTTAAGCAACGGGGTCTGGGACTTGAACCGTGGTTGACTACATGAGAGTTCAGCAACATAGCCATTACGCTAACTGCTAGTCCCTGTAAATAAATTTAAAATAAAAAATAATTATAGACACAGGGCCAGCAGATGATGTCATGGTTATGTCGCTGGACTCTCACATGGCCAACTGCAGTTTGAGTCTCAAGACCTAGAGACTTGAAACTCACATCAGTTGCATGTGTGTGCATGCCCAAAGCCCAAGAGAAGAATGGAGGAGAAGAGATTGTGGCACGGCCGTCCCTCCATGGGGTGACTTCTCACTTTGTCTCTTTGTCTCTCTCAGTTTCTCCAGCAAACATATGTGCCTTATAGCAAAAAATCTCTCTCTGAAAAAAAAAAAAATTATTGACATTGAGGCCAGCAGGTGGTGTGGTGGTTAAGGTGCTGGACTACCACATGGCTGGCCATAGTTTGAGCCCCAGACCAAACAGCTTGAGAATCACACTGGGTGCATGTGTTTGCATGCCCAGAATCCTGAGAGAATAGAGAAAGGATTGTGGTGTGGCCATCCCCTTGCGGTGTGTGTGTGTGTGTGTGTGTGTGTGTGTGTGTATGTGTGTGATTTCTCACTTTCTCTCTCTCCGTCTCTCTCCAGTGAGTGCATGTGCCCTATGGCAAAAACCTGGAAAAAATTATAGATATTAACAGCACAGTATAAGTTGTTGGAAGATAATAATTGTATATTTGATGTTATAGTAGTTAATAGGCCTGTGTTGGGCCTATTATTGAGTATATTAAGAAGCATACGGGACCAGCAGTTAGCGTAACGGCTATGTCACTGAACTTCCATGTAGTCAACCGCAATTCAAGTCCCGGACCCAGTGGCTTAAACTCATGCTGGATGCATATGTGTGCATGCCCAAGATCCCAAGAGGAGAATGGAGGAGTAGGGATTGTAGCGTGGCCATCCCCCTGGGGGGATGATTTCTCGCTTTCAGTCTCTCTTTCTCTGTCTCTCTGGCAAGTGCACACGCCCTGTAGCAAAAACCTCTCCAAAAAAAAAAAAAAAAAAAAAAAGAAGCAGCAGCATATGTTTTGTAATATAACAATTAAAAATTTTTTAAAAATTAAGTTTCATCAATTCCATGACCATTTTATTACTTTAAAGTGTGGTAGTTAAAGGCACTGAACTCCCACACAATCGACCGCAGTTCAAGTCCCAGATCTGGACTTGAAGGCAATTCAGAGGTTATTTGTCTAGAATCAACATAGAACAGATTGAAACTCATGAACAGTGTGTGTGCATACATGCTCAAAAGCCCAGGGGGTGAATGGCAGAGAAGGGATTGTGGCATGGTTGAGCACCCTGGGAGTGATTTCTCACTTTCCCTCTCACTGTCTTTCTCACTGTCTCTTTCTGTCTCTTTGACAAGTGTATGTGACCTATGGCAAAAAACCTTCAAAAAATGTTTTTTCATTATCAGGCTGACATAGGAGGTTTGTAAGCTTGAGACTGGCCTGGGCAACACAGCAAAGCCATGCCCGAAACGGGCTTGGTGTGGTGGCATGGATCTGTATCACAGCTGCAAGGCTGAAGGGAAGATTGCCACATGGCAAGATGCTGGGTTTTTTTTTTAAATTCATTATTATTAAGCAAAAAAGTAATATATATTCTTTTATATCTATAATTTAACTAAAGCTCTAATATATAGAGAGAAAAAAGACAAAATCACCAACCAGTTAGTAATAATGTTATTATAACTTTAGAGGCAAAGGCAGTCTACAGAGGAATTTATTTTCCTTTTTCTCTTGTTTCTTTTATCTTTGATGTATGCATTAAATTATTTACATAATATAAAACCAGCAGTTGGTGTAATGGATATGCCACTGGACTAACATGTAGTTGACTGCAGTTTGAGTCCTGAACCCAGTGGCTTAAACTCCTGCCAGGTGGGTGTGTGTGCATGCCTACGATCCCAAGAGGAGAATGGAGGAGAAGGGATTGCAACATGGCCATCCCCCCCCCAGGGGGTGATTTCTTGCTTTCTGTCTCTCTGTCTCTCTCTGTCTTTCTGGCAAGTGCACATGTCCTATAGCAAAAACTTCTCCCGAAAAAAATTATTTACATAATAAAATATGCTCTAAATTCAAATTTCCCATCATTCATTTAACTTTGGGGTATTTGCACAATTCAGATAAGTATTATGAGATAATTAGATTATACCAGGAAGAAAAAAATCCATTCCAGGAACAAGAAAATCTATACATTAAAAAACTTTGAATTTCAGTGGGCTGGATGTTTTAATTTTTAATTGATATGTATTGGTGCCAAAAAGGTTTAAACACAATAGACTTAGAAACATATTATGATAAGAATTTTAATTGAATTTTTAAAAAGAATTATTTAATTTATTTTAATTTGACCAGAGAGAGACACAGAGAGAGAGGGAGGGAAAGTGAGAAAGCAAGCCACCAGGTCCAGGACTCGAACTACTGTTGGCCATGTGGGAGTGTCCAGCACCTTAATCACCACGCCATCTGCTGGTTCCCAGATTTTTTTTAATAGACCATAGATTAGTTTTTTTTTAAACACCTATTATGCCATGAATTCACAGGGAATAGGTTCCAGAAGCTCAGGCTCCTTTCCATTGATTTTCACAAAGTATGCTTCTCTGGGTGGAGCGGGCCGGTGCTTCAATTGAACCCAGGTACCTTTCTCTTTGGCTTCCTTCTTTTTCTGGTCATTTTCCCTCACACGTTTTAGGAAGTTATCTCTGTTCTTGGAAGGCTTAATATGCTCAATATGCACATTAATTCTCTTGGCAAGGATCTTGCCCTGAACTTGTTTGTTCACAACAATGCCAACAGCATGCTGGGTAACACTGTAGACTCTTCCAGTTTTGCCAAGGTAACAGTTGTGGGCATTCCTTTTTGAATAGTACCCACTTCCTTGATGTCTACAATATCATCTTTCTTGTAAACTGGCATGTATGTCGCCAAAGGAACTACTCCATGTTTTCTAAAAGGCCTAGAGAACATGTGTGCCGCTCCTCTTGCCCTTTGTGTTCATCTTTTTGGTTAATTACTGGGAGATGGTGGTTCTGGCCAAAAGCCTGAATTGACTTTTAACACTCACAGAGGCCACTGATGTTTTTCTCATTTAGCATTTCCAATATTATTATATTTTTCAAAGCTGGAAAACATTCCAAAGATTAACAAAAAAAAAAATTGTTAAATGCTTCAAACAATTCGATTCACTGATAACCAAATGAAGTCCTTCTTACTTAATATAGAATATGAATTCTTAAAAAAAAAAGAGTATCAAAATAGGTAGATACATGTTACCTCGGTTTGTATAATTCATGTCAAAGTAGACTTGCATCTTAATGGTGTCCAAAGATGGATTTTTATTATCCAATAGCCGACTCACACAAAGCTACAAAAGAAAAAAGCCCATCAAAGTTTCTAGTTACATTTTTTGAACATGTATTTTTCTATAGTTATTTTCAAAATAAAGGGAAATACTAAAGCAGTAGTTCTTGATATTTATGCACAATAACCCCTTTCGCTAATTTTCTCTCTTTGAGGACTTCAGACTTTACAGTTTACCCAATGAACAACATTTATTAAGTAATAAATTGTTTTCCTTGAGTTAACCGCTGTTATTACCACTCCCAGGGAGTTGAAGGCAAGAAACCTAATGTTCGTTAGTCCAAGAAGTCTAAACGTGGGTAACTATTTCATGAACTTCATGTCCCTGTCTAGAACTCTTCCACAGTTCCCGCTTACTATTTATTAGAGCCCTGAGTAACTCTAAAGCTGGAGGTCACACGCATTACACGAAAAGCTTTGGCAGCTACCCTCCTCTGCTTACAAAATTTCTCTGGCTCTACCTTGTCTTTCAAAGTTTCTTCTGATCTGAGCCCCCACACAACTCATTCCCCCTCTCTACCTGGCCTCTTCAGATTAGAGGATCAACCTGCATTGTCCTTTCTCCTTTCCTTCCCATCACTCTCCTGTCTTCTCCACTCCTCTCCCGTCTCACCCCTTAGGCTTTATATCGGCAGCTGGCAGACAAACGGTGCTATGGCTCTCTACTCACATCCCTGGAAGGGCGGCAGACCTGCTTTTCTGTGAGGAGGGAGAGGCGAACACGTGGCTTCGGGTTGGACATGGTCTCAATAGAAGCCTGTGCACCTGGATCTCTCCAAAAGAGAAGCACTTTGCTAAAAGCAGTCTTCACAAATCGAAAGATTAGTTTATCCACATGATTTTTATTGGGTCGTCAGAAAGGTCATGACATGTTTTTCCATGTTTCTGTATGCTAGTGTATCATAACTTTCCTGACAACCCAATATTTGAGAAAAAAGGAAGACATTTTCGACACATGTATTATGATATACACTGGCTAAAAGTATGATAGAATTAAGTTTAATTCTTCCAAAATAATAGAGTTGAGGTAGGGAAGAAAAGCCCGTCTTGAGCCATGAAAAGGAGAGAAAGCTGGGCACAGTGGTATATGCTTATAATCCCAGCTACTCTGGAGGCTGAGGCAGGGGAGGCAGGAGGATCCCAAGTTTGAGGTGAGCCAAGAGAACATAGTGAAACCCTGGCCCTCAAAAAAAAAAAAAAAAAAAGTTAGAACAGGCTGGGACCACCCATGACCTTGTAGTTAGGGCAGCTGGATTCCACATGACCAGTGATGTGGTTCGAGTCTAGGACCCAGTGGCTTGAGGAACATGCCAGGTGCATGGGGCATGCATGCCCAAAGTCCTGAAAGGAGGAACAGATGGAGGAGAAGGGATTGTGGTAGAACTGGGAGGTGCTTTCTCCCTGTCCATCTGACAAAGCTAAAACAAACAAACAAACAAAACCAGGATATATAGTACATTTAAAATCAGCCCAGAAAGACCAGCTCTATGTTGTCCTGTGGAATCATTGTCTCTACTGTAGAATCATCCTAACACTATCTTCCTAGCTCCAGGCTTTCAAATCTTTTCTTGACCCCTTCACATCTACAGATAGACCTTTTCTCCACTATGTGAATTGCTGGCTGTCAGAGAAGATGCAGAGGATGAAAGGTTTCCCTGCCATTTTCATGAGTCCAGAAAATGTCCTTAAACAAGTTCAAGGATATGATTCAAATCCTTTGTATGTGGGGGAGGAGAGAATTCATTAATCCCAGGGGGAAAATAATGTTGATTTTTTTTTTTTTTAGGAAATATAAATTAAGCAACTAAATTCAGTGAGTCAAATTTAAAACATATGAACAACATTATAATATCTCAAATTCTTTTAAATAAAAACTTTTTTAGAATTATTTTATTTTATTTTTATTTATTCATTCATTTATTTTTTTAACTTGACCAGAGGGAGACAGAGAGAGAGAGAGAAAGGGAGAGAAAGGAAGAAAGCAAGCCTCAAGGTCCAGGACCAGAACTGCGGTCAGCCATGTGGGAGTGTCCAGCACCTTAACCACCATGCCACCCACCAGTCCCCCATTCAAATTCTTGACTTCTTTAGTTCTTAAAGAGGATTTTTTCAGGTATAACTACTTCACTTATAACTATGGATAATCTTGCTTTGGTTTTAATTTTCCCTTTAGAATTGAAAACATAAATTATATTGAGTCAATTATATGAATCTTAATTTAGAACTACGCAATTTAGTACTGCTTAACTTTATAGTATATGGCCAGCCGTTAATAATTGTCTAAATGTAATAACAGATTAATAACAAGATATCACTCAAATACTGTTGCAGGTACTGCTAGCTGCTCAGTATCCATGACTCTCCTTCCTTATTAACAGAGCCCTAATACGGTTTATGACAAAGATTTGCTCATCTGAGAAAGAATGAAAAATAAATGATGCAGAGTCACGTAGAATATCACTCTAGTTGAGTTAGCCTGTGGTGTGGTGGTTAACATGGCTAGATTCCACATGGCCTATTATGCAGTTCAAGTTCTGGACCCAGTGGCTCGAAAAACAAGCTGGGTGCACATGCGTGCATATCCAAAATCCTGAGGAAAATGGAGGAGAAGGGATTGGTGTGTGGCCTTATCTTCTGAGGAGTGCTTTATCACTTTCCTTCTCTCTGTCTCTCTCCATGGAGTGGCATGTATCCTATAGCAAAAAAAAAAAAAAAAAAAAAAAAAGAAAAGAAAAAATACACACATACACACACACATACACACAGATGGGAGGAATTTTGGGGAAAGTATTATTTTCTGAATAGAAAGTGACAGATACAGTTAGCACACCTATTTCACCTTTTGTCCTTTTCCCTTTTTCCTTCCTAGAAGTAGAGAGTAGTTATTCTGTGACCATGGGATGAAAGCCGTATGCAAAGGATGGTAGTCTGGGAAGGCTCTGTATCTTTAGACACTGGTTCATATAAAAAATAAAATAAATCCCTCACTTGTTTGTACCATTATTCTATGGCCTTTGTTTTATGCATATGAAGGCAATAATGCCTAATACAAATGATATATTTAGAATTGAGAAAGAATACTTCCAAATATGAGGTCAGTCGGATAATCACCTTAACAAGTTTCTGCACATCGCTTTTCACGAGGGTTCTATCCATATTAAAGCCATTACTTGGATCCAAGACAACAGCTTTCACCTGAAAGTAGGAAAGAATACATGAAGTAATTTTAATTCATATCATTATAAAGTTAGTTAAAAACATGAATATGTTTCCATTCTTAAAGCTACCTTTTGATTTTTCAGGGATTGCTTTTTCAACTGTTTTTGTTACCCAACCCATTAGAACTTTCTTTAGAGATTTAAGAAAGGAAGAAATAGACGTCAAAGCTGAATATGGTACTAGAAAAATTATATGGGGAAATAAGTTGAAAGCAACGGGTAGACTTTAGATTCAGACTAAAAGCAAGAACAGAGAAACAGCAGCAATGAGTAAATTTTACAACTGTAAACAAAAAAATTCCTATAACAGTAGAACATTATATTCATGTTTCTAAAACTCATCAAGATCTTCTAAGTGGGACCAGCAGTTAGCATAATGGCTATGTCACTGGACCCCCATGTAGTCGATCGCGGTTCAAGTCCCAGACCTGGTGGCTTAAACTAGCGCCGGGCACATGTGCGTGTTTGCCCAAGATCCGAGAGGAGAATGGAGAAGGGACTGTGGCGTGGCCATTCCCCCTGGGGGGTGACTCCTCTCTTTCTGTCTCTCTGTCTCTCTCTGTCTTTCTGGCGAGCGCATGTGCCCTATAGCAAAAATCTCTCCAAAAAAAGAAAAAAAAAAAGATCTTCCAAGTCGGTCCCTACAAATATGCAACTGACATTCTTTATGGACTTTCATAAAATACTTTCGCTTACTTGCCCTATGATCTCAGTATGTTTTCAACTGAAAAAAATTCACAGAATTTTAAGGGAAAAATAAGTACTGCATAAAATTTTTTTAAAAACGTAGTAATTTGCAACATTTCATACTTACCATAAAAGCAACCAGAGTTTCAGAAACGACCTCTCCATGGGCTGCACATTCTTGTCCTATTTCTCGTATGATATTCTTTATAACACTTTCTGCCTGAGTGGGAGGCATTCTGGTGAAATCAGACAATGATATTTTTATTGCATTTATATATTTTTTCTGCTTTAGATTTCTTCACTATTGTATTTGTAAGGAGTCATAATATTATCCGATAATGTATTAGTATTTCATTAGTATTCTCTCATTTTTCATTAATTTTTAATGAAATTTGATGACAATGTAATTGGATCTACAAAGGACTGAAGCATTTCCTGTTTACTTAAATAATGGCGGATGCCAAAAGTATGTAATATCATGATGTCTTCTACTTGATCTTAGCCAAAAGGCTGAGAAGCAATATAGATAGATAAGAATTTAAACAAAAAGTTTAATAGTATTTGAGGGAATAAAATAATTCACGAGAAGCTCAACCACCTCCCCCCATCTGTGTAGGCGGCAGAGAACAGTTTGAAAAAGGAAATGCAATTCCACTAAATAACCTTTCATAACTGCAAGAATCAGAAAACAGTTCTTGCCTGGCTCATCTAAATTCCCTTTTCTGCACATCCAAGTTGGAATTTAGGTTCTCGATAAAGACATAAAAGCAAAACATATCATGAAAATTATACATCATTGGAAAAAAGACAATGAAAATGCAGTGGTCAGTAATTCCACATACTATAAACAAGGAAAAAAGTGGTAGGCTTTAACCGAGTTTCAGATTTTCCAGAGTATCAATAGCTGAGCACAGGGGAACCTAGCACGTCGACTGTAAAAGGGCAATACGCAGTAGGCAGTGTCAATCAGCGTTATTGGCGTTAGGGGCTGGGCAGGTCGCACCTGGCATTTTGTCCTGTAAAACCAGGTTGCCTGGATTCCATTGTGACCGACCGTTGTCTAGCGGTGAGATTTTTGTTCACTTCTTAAAGGTGCAGTTTCCTTTTCTGGAAACTATGGATACCATCACTACCTCTCTCCAGAGTTCTAAGGACCGAGCTCCCTACGTTTAGAGGTTAGAATACCCAGGAACCAGCTCTCGGGGCTGGCGGGCGGCGCGGGGGCGCGCCTGTGGGCGTGTCCGAGAGACTCTCCGGGTGCGCGTGCGCATGTGCGTGCGCGCGCTGTTGGAGGAGTGCCGGGGTTGCTAAGGACGCTCCTCAGACCTCCCCCGACCCGACTCTCCAACCGCTACCTGGCGGGCGGGAAGGCTCTGCGCTCTGCAGTGCGGGTGGAGGTCTGACCTGCGGGCCTGTGCGCTTCCGGCCAAGGGCGACCGCTGTGTCGGCTCAGCGGCGGCGGAGCCAGGGACGTCGTGACTGAATTTCGTCTCGATAGGACGGACGGGCGGCTCCAGAGGCCCGGGCTTGCCCCACGTCACCTCCTCACCCAGAATACCTCTGGTTCAGAAGCGCGAAGACCCAGGCGGACTGACCTTGGCGGGAATCCGAAGCAGCGGCCGCGGCTAGCGGATTCTGCCCTGGGGCCCTCGCCGCGGCCTGATCTGCTGCCTGCTTGGCTACTGAAGCCCCAAAGCGGCCGCGTAACCATGGAGACCGAACGCTGAAGCCTGGGTGGGCGGGGCCCGAGTGGAGGGGGCGTGGCTGGGCTGGACCTGGAGAGTGTTTTCCCAAAGGATGGGCAGGAAGAACTTAAATAAAAATTGAACCACATTAAATAAATAAATAAACAAATAAATAAAATTTGAAAACAGAAGTCCCCACAAATCCCAAGCAGACCGGGCATGCTCCCTACATCTCTGTGGTTAAGACTGTCGAACATGAAATTTCTTAAATAAGGATACTAACTTGCTACATGGGACCATCTAGGGTGGTTTAAAAGGACTTAGGAGAAAGAGGAGGAGACTTTTAGGATGGGAAAACGGAGGGGTTGTATTTTCCACTAATTAAGTTCTCCTAGAAGTATCTAGTTTTTTGTTTTTTTTTTTTTTTTTTTGGTAAATAAAAATTTTGGGCAAGTTTGTTTTTTTTTTGGTAAGTAAAAGTATTGGGACAGTTAGCGTAATGGCTATGTTACTGGACTCCCATGTAGTCGACCACGGTTCAGGTCCCAGACCCGGCGGCTTAAACTCACGCCGGGCGCGTATGTGTGCCCAAGATCCCAAGAGGAGAACAGAGGTGAAGGGCTTGAGATGTGGTCATCCACCCTGGGGGTGGGGGATGATTTCTCACTTTCTCTTTCTTTCTGTCTCTCTGTCTCTGGCAATTGCACTCACCCTATAGCAAGAAATCTCTCTTCAAAAAAAAAGAAAAGGCATGATACATTTTGGTATAGAAAAATACATCCTGACTTTTCTGTCAATCCAATATTTATTCAATAGAGCATATGCATTACACTGGCTTTTTTTCATATATATTACATTTTATTATAAAAAGTAAAAGCACAATAATGTAGAACTTCTTTTTTTTTTTTTGAGAGGCCTTTTTTTTCCCAATAATGTAGAACTTTAGTTATACTTGTTGACCATCAATAATTAATGGGGCTGTATTTTCTAAAATCTGCAAAAGTTTAAAAAAATACAGAGACTGTGCTTTTGTTTCATTGCATTCTCCACTATTATCCATACACCACACAACAGCGGGCTTTCAAAACAAACAAACAAAGCCACAGTCCTAGTGTTAGTCCATGTAATACATCCGTTTTCCAGCTGTGAAAGTTACAGAGAAAGTTACAGAGAATCCTCTTATCCTGTTGAACCCCCCTTTCCACAAAAAGACTTGATAATGATGAGAAAGCAAAGCAGTGCAAGTTACCCTCATTCCTGTTGTGCTTAGGATAAGCATGAACTATCTTTGTCCACTTTCCTATACCCTTTCATTCAGGAGGATCCTGCGATCACTTCTTAACCATCTTTCAGAGATGCCTTTGTAGAGGTTACTTACAAGGGGCACAGATGTGAAGAGGCAGGAAGAAGTAGAATTTCCTGATGCAAAAATAGCATAGCATCTTAAATTCATTTGTCTTTCCCTTAATCTATTCTTCCTAGTGACCATAAAACATCTTTAAGGGTAACAAATAATGAATGAAAGCATTCTTCATTTTCCATGTCTTTCTCCATCACATGAAACAAAAGAGAAACATCAGACTGTCACAACCTGTCAGGAAAAATTGAGACACTACAGCAGATACACAGGCATAAATGGTCTTGTTCTTCCATATATTACAAAAGAAATAAAAATGATGAGAACATGAAATAAAACCAAATGAATTAGCAAATTCTATTATAAGCATATCTATGTTGATTTTCAAAGGGGGTAGGGGAAGCAGCCCCATAGCCTAGACTTGCTGTCTCAAAACTTGCAGTTTTCTCTGGCCCTTAGACCTTTACAAAGACGTTATTCCCTCTTCCTGGATGTTCCCTTCCTCCTCACCTGGTTAATCCCTCCATGTTGTCAGACATTATCTCTCTTACAATTTTCTGAGCTGCTAATATTGGGTTTAGGGTCCTAAACCTTCTCTACTAATTCCAAAAACTTTAACCACCCCAAAAGAAAACTCCATGCCCCTTAAGCAGTTACTCCCCTTCTGTCCTCCCCTTATTACTAAAACCTGACAAAGCTCTCAACATTCTGTGGAAGGAACCAGCAGATGGCATAATGGTTAGTTTGCTGGACTCCCACAGGGCTGACCATGGTTCGAGCGTCAGACCGGGAGGCTTGAAACTCGTGCCAGGTGCATGTGTGTCCAGAATTCCGAGAGGAGAATGGAGAAGGGATTGTGGTGGTGATTTCTCACTTTCTATCTTTCTGTCTTTCCAGTGAGTGCACATGCGCTATAGCAAATCTCTCTAAAAAATAAAAATTAGCATGTGCGTGCACATCCTGACTTTTCTGTCAATCCAATATTTATTCAATAGAGCATATGCATTACACTGGCTTTTTTTCATATATATTACATTTTATTATAAAAAGTAAAAGCACAATAATGTAGAACTTCTTTTTTTTTTTTTGAGAGGCCTTTTTTTTCCCAATAATGTAGAACTTTAGTTATACTTGTTGACCATCAATAATTAATGGGGCTGTATTTTCTAAAATCTGCAAAAGTTTAAAAAAATACAGAGACTGTGCTTTTGTTTCATTGCATTCTCCACTATTATCCATACACCACACAACAGCGGGCTTTCAAAACAAACAAACAAAGCCACAGTCCTAGTGTTAGTCCATGTAATACATCCGTTTTCCAGCTGTGAAAGTTACAGAGAAAGTTACAGAGAATCCTCTTATCCTGTTGAACCCCCCTTTCCACAAAAAGACTTGATAATGATGAGAAAGCAAAGCAGTGCAAGTTACCCTCATTCCTGTTGTGCTTAGGATAAGCATGAACTATCTTTGTCCACTTTCCTATACCCTTTCATTCAGGAGGATCCTGCGATCACTTCTTAACCATCTTTCAGAGATGCCTTTGTAGAGGTTACTTACAAGGGGCACAGATGTGAAGAGGCAGGAAGAAGTAGAATTTCCTGATGCAAAAATAGCATAGCATCTTAAATTCATTTGTCTTTCCCTTAATCTATTCTTCCTAGTGACCATAAAACATCTTTAAGGGTAACAAATAATGAATGAAAGCATTCTTCATTTTCCATGTCTTTCTCCATCACATGAAACAAAAGAGAAACATCAGACTGTCACAACCTGTCAGGAAAAATTGAGACACTACAGCAGATACACAGGCATAAATGGTCTTGTTCTTCCATATATTACAAAAGAAATAAAAATGATGAGAACATGAAATAAAACCAAATGAATTAGCAAATTCTATTATAAGCATATCTATGTTGATTTTCAAAGGGGGTAGGGGAAGCAGCCCCATAGCCTAGACTTGCTGTCTCAAAACTTGCAGTTTTCTCTGGCCCTTAGACCTTTACAAAGACGTTATTCCCTCTTCCTGGATGTTCCCTTCCTCCTCACCTGGTTAATCCCTCCATGTTGTCAGACATTATCTCTCTTACAATTTTCTGAGCTGCTAATATTGGGTTTAGGGTCCTAAACCTTCTCTACTAATTCCAAAAACTTTAACCACCCCAAAAGAAAACTCCATGCCCCTTAAGCAGTTACTCCCCTTCTGTCCTCCCCTTATTACTAAAACCTGACAAAGCTCTCAACATTCTGTGGAAGGAACCAGCAGATGGCATAATGGTTAGTTTGCTGGACTCCCACAGGGCTGACCATGGTTCGAGCGTCAGACCGGGAGGCTTGAAACTCGTGCCAGGTGCATGTGTGTCCAGAATTCCGAGAGGAGAATGGAGAAGGGATTGTGGTGGTGATTTCTCACTTTCTATCTTTCTGTCTTTCCAGTGAGTGCACATGCGCTATAGCAAATCTCTCTAAAAAATAAAAATTAGCATGTGCGTGCATGTCCAGGATCCCGAGAGGAGAACAGAGGAGAAAGAATTGCAGAGTGGCCATCCCCGCTGGGGGCTGATTTCTTGCTTTCTGTCTCTCTGTCTCCCTCTTTCTGGCGAGTGCACACACCCTATAGCAAAAACCTCCCCCCCCCAAAAAAAAAATAAAAATTTAAATAAAAAAAAAAACCACCTCTATGGAAGTCTGTCTTCTTGTCTATCTTCCTCACTAGAGCATTAGCTCCTTGAAAGCAGGGAACATACCTTATTGAGTCCCCGGCACCTAAGAACAGAGCCTAGAATGTAATAGTTATTACAGACTATTTGAGTTAGAGAGGCAAGTATGGGAGTGGGTGGGTGAAAAGGAGAAATTTTAGATGTTAAAGATAGATGTTAAAGTTTGAGATGTTTAAGTCAATATTTTTACTAAAGAGTTAGGTTGATTAAGAGGAAATTACCATGTGGAAGGAAAGAGGAAGACATTTAAATGACAAATCTTCAGAAGAGCTTCCTGGACTCACAGCCTCTTCCAGGAGTCACAACTCTCCCACCTTAGGGTCCCCTGCCCAGTCACTAGCACCCATTTATGCATTCCCTAGGAAGAGAGATTGCTCTGCCTTCTCTTCTTCCCTTCATGCCTCCAACTAGGGTCAAGCAATTTCCTATGGTGCCCTGGGCTTCAGAAGGAGGGTGTTGGACCAACTGACCCTTGAGCTTCCAGCCCTCTCACAAAGTAGGTGTTGGAGATCGGCGTGAGGGTGGGACTTGGGCTCTCATTTGCCTTTCTGCTTTGTGATTCTCTCCTACGGGGAGAGCACTATGGTAGCTCCCAAGGACAAACTTTTTTTTTTTTTCCCCAAGGACAAACTTTAATTTGGATAGTGAGATCTTTATTAAAGTAAGGCTATTTTCTCAATTCCACGGAAACTGCTTTGCTCTGTGATCCGTAAGTTCTCAATTTTGCGAGGAGCAATTTTTTTTTATCTCCTTTCATGTTTGCTGAAATTATGAAAGAGCTGGTCCCCACCTTTAGCAACTGTTTTCTTATGACTGAGTAAGTGCCAGAGGTCCCATCGAATTATTTTAATTCAGCTGTGGCTCAGTTGGGGAGAGCCGGGCTGCCGATTCTTCCTGGCACACTGCACATAGGAAGACAGTACTATATCATCTGAATTTCTCATCTGCACTTTAAGCTCATTATCTCTAACACCATCCTCTCCATACCTGTCCCACTCTGTACATTCTCTTTGAGCATGAATTGGCATCGATTTAATAGCAGGCCCAAACCTGCTGAAGGTGATCCTG